ACATTACGAGAGAAAAAAAAAATTTTCTTTTTTTTTATACGGTCGTGTGTCATCATCTATTCTTACGTAAGATAAACATTTCGTTAGGTGGTGTCGCGTTCTTTTTTTTTAAATGAAAACTATTTTCCATTTCACCCCCTACCCCCTCTCTCTCCCCTCTTCGAAACCTCTCTTGAATTTCCCCTTTTCTACTAACAAATAAACTTTATCGAGTCAAGCTAAAAACTTTTTCTGGTTTTTTTCTTTTTTTTATTATCTAACGATTGAATTTTTATTTAAAATGTCGGATATATTTAAAAAAAAAAAAGGAAAAGAAATGATAATTAAAAACTTTATAAAAAAGTTTTCTTTGAAAAGTTAAAAAGCTAAATAAAAGAAAAATCATATTCGGATTATGTAAAACGAGAGGGAGGTCGGGAGGTGGAGGATGGGAGGTGAGTGGGACGGCGGAAGTTTCATCGGTTGTTTCTCTATAAAATTCTAATCGTTCGGTTTTGTCTTGTTTTCTTTTTGAAATTAAATTGTGACGTCATTTCCGGTTTTATTTTATTTTTTTCCCTTCGTTCCCTCCTCGTATTCGCGTCGACGCCATTTTGTCGTCATTTCCACGTTTTGCGTTAAACGGATGGAAATGGGGAGTGGGATTGGAAGAGGGAGGGAAGGGGGGTGAGGTAAAAATGAAGGGAAAAATATTTATTTTCTCTCATATTTCTTTTCATTTTTTTTTTTCTTTTTTTTCATTTTCTTCTTCTTATTCTTTTCTTTTTTTTTATTCTTTTCCCCTCGATTTGAATTTTTATTTACTTATATATATATAATATAAATTTTCTAACGGTTGTCGTTCCAGATTTCGTTTTTCTCTTGAAAAAAAAACTTTTTTTTTTTTTTGTATTCTGGAATATCAACGGTTAAAATTTTTGTTCCCTTTTTCCCCTTCCCTCTCCTACCCCCCCACCCCCACGATCTTTTCAACCTGTTGCTTTTTTTTTTTTCTTCCTTCTTTTAACAATTTTTAAATATTAATTTATGACGAAATTTCGTGTTTTTTTTTGAATATCGTTTCTCCCCCCTCCCCCTCCTTTGATCCATTTAATTATTATTATTATTATTATTAAACGATATATAATTAAATGTTTTATTCAATTATTGATAAATAAATCCAAATCGCTTTCTTCTGCTTTCTTTTTTTTCTCTCACATTTTTCCGTTTTTTAAAAATTTTTTTTCGTCTCCATCAATTTCGTATATTTATTATTATTATTATTATTATTATCATTTTTCATTCGACCGTGTCATTTTTTTTTTTAGAAATTTCATTTTCTTTTTTATACACACACACACACACTTTTATTATCAGTTAATAATAATAATAATAATAACAAAGTCGAAAACTTTTATGTGTTATTATTATTATTATTTTTTTTTTTTAATAAATATTGACTCGAGTTTATAAAAATGAGAAGAAGAAGAAGAAAAAGAGAAAAAAGGAATTTTAGTACGTGGCAACAAAGGATCAAAGGAAAAAGAAAAAAAAAAAAGGAAAATTTATTTAATAAAAAAAAAAAGGAAGAAAATTTTAACCGCATTTATTGTACGTATTAGTGTTTGGAAAAGGAGAAAGAAAAGAAAAGGACAAAAAAAAAGTGGAAGAAGAAGAAAAGGGTAGGGGGTGGGGGGGAGGGAAAAATAAAAATAAAAGAAAGAAAAGCTTTTAAAGGTGATAGAAACACTCCAGGCTTTTAGAGAACACAAGTTTTTTTCCAGAGTCTCAGAAGGGTGTCAATCTATCATATTCATTAACTAAATCAGTACCGGATTAAGGTTAACTACAAACAAAACAAAAAAAAAACCCTATTATTAAAGATTCCTGGAGAAGAAGAATTTTTTTTTTTTGCCTCTCCAAAATCATCATTATCAATAACGTTATCACACTTTTTTTTTTATTAATAAAATAAATTGGACGAATAAATTTTCATTCGTTGAAATTTGATATTTTTTTTTTTTTTTGACCGCCATCATTATCACCATTTTTATTATCCCTTTTTTTTTTTCTCTCTCTCTCTCTCTCTCCTTATCTTTCCTACGTAAAAAAAAGAACATTCTAGAAAATCTTAATGTTAAGGGGAAAAAAAAATCCTATCCACGTATTTTTTTAACTACGACATTTAAACAAAGGAAAAAATTTTCCTTTTACTTTTCCTTTTAAACTGGAATTACGTATTTTTTTAAAAATTAATTTTAAATAACTTTATCATCATCATCATCATTATCGTTTTTCAGGTATCCGAATAAATAAATAAATAAAAAAATTCTTATGGAAAAAAAAAAAAGAAAAAGAAAAAAAAATTTTAAAATAACGAATAAAAAATAATAATAATAATGATAAGAAAAGGAAATAAAGAAAAACGTAAAAGGAAACGGAAAAATTCCCATTAAAATTAATAATAATAATAATAATAACAATAAAGGGTAAGGAAAAAAAAAAAAAAGGAGGGAAACGTTTTCAGGTCGTTTAATACACGTTTTTATTGGTTATCGATTGAGTTTTTCCCCGTATATAAAAAATTGCAACAAAAGCACTAATCATTTCAAAGACATTTACTACCACTCTTCGTGTACTATGCTCTCCTTCCCCTTCCCCCTCACTCCCTCCCTTCTTTCCCTTCCCCACTCCCTTCACCTCCCCTACCCACTCATACCGCCGCAGCCGCAGTTACTGACGTCACCCTCTCGACTTTTTCCTCTTTCCCTTCCCCTTTACTCCCCTCAATTCTCCTCACTCCCTTCCTCCCTCTTCACCTACCAACCTACCTCCGTCCGTTCGTTCGTTCGTCCGTCACGTGGGATGACGACACTTGACATTTTATCTATCCTTCTCTTTCTCTCTCCCTTTCTCTCTCTCTCTTTTTTCATCCGCATCGGGAAAATCAAATGAATGACACAAAAAACAAAAAAAAAAATGGAGGAAAAGAGAATAAAAAAAAAATAATAGAAAAAATACTCACGTGATTAATTTTATTCTAAAATGAATACAAACGCATCATCATCATCATCGTCATCGTCACCATCATCATCATCGTCATCGTCACCATCACCATCACGTACGCCATCTTTAATTTTTTCTTTTTGCTGTTAAAATTTATAAATTCATAGATAAATTAATTTCAAATTACGCGGGAATTATACGCATATATATATAATTGCCACGTCGGAAGTGACGTCATAGAATTTTAGATATTTCGTTTATTAATTAAGTTTAAAAATTTATATGCGTGAGAGGAAAGAGATGGGAAGGGAAGGGAATGAAAGGGAGGGAGGGAGAGGAGGGAAAAAGGGAGGAACGACAGGATGAAGTGAGAACGGTTGCGGGAAGGGGGAAGGGGGAAGCGGGGAGAGGGAAGAGGTAGGAGGGGGAAAGGGAGGAAAGGAGGGGCGGGGGAAAAATTTTATTTATGATTGTAAATTTATTTTGGATAAAATTACAATTTTTTTTTTTTTTTTACAAAGGTTTTAAATTTATTCCAGATGGAATTTTGTTTTTCGCGTAAATTTAAAAATAAAATAAAAAAAATAATAAAATAAAATAATAATAATAATAATAAAAAGTTGTAATTTTATATCGAATCGAATTACGATACAAAAAAAATTATTATTATTATTATTATTATTTTTTGATAATTCCTGCGGGATCCAATTAATTTTTTTTTCCTTTCCTTTCCTTTCCTTTTTTTTTTTTTATGACAATTTAATAATTTTACGTTCGCACGTAATTTACATTGAATTTTTTTTTTCATTACGATATCGATATATCGAATCGAATCGAACGATCGATCGATCGATTATTACCGTATTGTAAAACCGTTAAAAAAAAATTTTTTTTTTAAACGCTCGGAATTGATTCGTCCCCCAAAACAAACGTTAAAATATTATTATTATCACGACCGGAAACGACTTTTTAAAAAAAATTTCAATTTTTTTCTTTCAAATTAAAATTTATTTTAAATTAATTTCAACAATTTTATTACAATTTTTTTTTTTTTACTTTATTTTATTTTATTAACAGAATCAAAAAAAAAAAAAAATTAATTAAATTTTTTTTTTCTCCCCATTTTTTTATTGCCCCGCCCCCCCTGTTTTGTTCTTCCCTCTTTTCCCCCTCCCACAATCCCAATCATTTATAAAATATTTAAATCTTAGATTAAAAGAAACAAAATCACAATTAATATAAAATGAAAAAGGAAGACTATTTGAGATACGACGACGACGACGACGACGACGATCGTCAAAGGAAAATTAAAAAGAAAAACTAAACAATGACCTTTTTCTGCTGTTTCTACCCCTTCAAATATTTTGGAATGTGTTTTCCCCTCTCCCCCCTTCCCCTCTAAACGAATCACGTTTTAATTCGAGCCACGTATAAAAAAAAAATTAAATTGATAATTCAATGTGATAACAACCGGATAAGAATAAACGGACAAAACAAAAAAGAAAAAATTAATAATAATAATAATAATAAATCCGCCATGTTTTTTTTTAACAAAACAACCCTTATTAATAAACGATAGCAAAAATCACGAATTAACTCCAGCAAAAAAAAAAAAAAAATTTTTTTTCTTCTTCTTCCTCATTCGTTTTCCTTTTTATTACTTTTACAATAATAATAACAATAATTTTAATAAACAATAACGACGTGTAACCAGATCATAATTTCCTATCTCTCTCTCTCTCTCAAACGTAAAAAATCTATTGTCACGATCATTACCGTCATTATTATTATTATTACAACCATCGATTCCCCCCTCTCCCCTTTTAAATCATCGAAATTTTCGATTCAAGTTTTTTTACACGAACGAAACCTTAAGAGGGGAGGGAAGAGGAGCGAGGGAGAGGCGGGAGAGAGAGAAAGAGAGAGAGAGAGAGAGAGAGTGAGAGAAAGAAAAAAAAGAACCCAGACTGAGAGAGAAGAAGAAGAAGGAGGAAGAAAAAGGAGAGAGAATAAATTTAATTATATTGCTCTGGTAAAACGTATGAAATATCATCCCAAGGATGTCTGTAAAGTCCTTGTTTTAATCTTTTTTGATCCATGTAGTGACCTAGAAAATTGTAAATCGAAAACAAAATCGATAAATCCATGTCTCAATCAATCAATCAATCAATCAATCAAATAATAATGATGATAATAATAAAAATTTTTACCGATAAATCCTATGCTTCTACCTAAAACGAATAAACTATTTATTGACCCCATGTCTATATATTCTTGAGCTTCTTCCCTGCGAAAAATTAAAGACAAATAATAATAATAATAATGCGTCTCGCTTTTTCGTATCGATTTATCGATCGATCTATCGATCTATCGATTCACTCACCTGGTAAAACTACCGGAATTTCTGAGCAAATCGACAAACGAAACGGCTATTATACCGTCGACGTTTAATATTAAATTTGGCTTTTTCGACGTCGTGATTTTTTCAACTTCCAAAGCGTAATAAAGTAATGGCTTCGCTGGAAAATTTTCCAAAACGAAATCTTTTATTATTTGAACTCTCTGATCCGGATTGTTGATCTGTAAGGATTAAAATAATCGATGATGATGATGATGACGACGACGACTACGGTTTTTCATTCTTTATTCCCGCCCCCCCCCTCGGGACACATCGCGTACGGTTAGTATGCAAAGGAAAAAAACTTACGGATTTGACCCGGTGACCGATTCCCATAATGAGTTGACCTTTTTTCCTCATAGAATTGACGAAATCCATGGGAACCAAACCCGAATCGTAGGCTTCGGAAAATTGTCTCGCAGCACCGTCCAAAGCACCGCCGAATCTGTCACCCTGTTAAAATTACATTGCGTCATCATTATATTTCCGGATCCCGAGTTTCAGAAAGGAAGAAAAAAAAAAAAAAAAAGGGAAACGAAAGACTCACGATCGTCAACAATCCGGAAACTAAACTCGAAACGAGATCTTTTCCCGCTCTCGCACAAACGATCGTGTTGTGAGCACCGGAAACGGCCGGACCGTGATCGGCGGTGACCATTAAACACATTTCGAAAAATTTACACACGTACGAGGGCAAAGCTCTTTGAAACCATAAGAGAGACACGACGCCGCCGATTCCCATTTTTTGTTTAAGTACCTGTAATTATCATTATTATCGATCTCTCATTCTTCTTCTTTGCAAATGCAAAAAAAACCTATTATTATTATTATTATTATTATTATTTCCTCACATCCGATATCGGCATTCCCGCGTAGAGGAGTTCTTGTCCTCTTTCGTCGCAAATCGATGACATGAAACTCGCGGGTTTTCGTATCAAACCCAATTCTCTCGCCCAACTGTAGTCCATGGGAACCGTCGGAGGCGGCATTTGTTCTTTGGGTACTATTATTTTCATATTGACCAGGGATAAGTACACGGAATGTATTGTATCTCCTAACGTGTCGAAACTCGATGGAACTTCCGCTCCGGCTTTTTTAAAACTTTCATTTTTAGCCGTCGCCGTTTCTTTGTCCGAATTTGCGCATGAACCCGCATGCCCGAATTGAATTTCACTTGAAAACATTGCTGAAAACAATACAAATTTTTATTTGAGAGGGAGGGAGGGAGGGAGGAGAGAGAGAGAGAGAGAGAGAGAGAGAGAGAGGGGGGAGAGAGAGAAAAATAATAAATAATATAAATTTACGTGCACATGTTCCTATACACCAAGCGACGAGGGGTTTTGTTATTTTACGACTTTTGAGCGCTTCACAGACTTCATATTCTTCGACACCTCCTACTTCTCCAAGAAGAACAATCATTTTTATCTGTTTTCAAAGAAAATCATAATAATAATAATAATGTAAATAATTATAATAGAATACAGCATCAACCAACACACTTACCGCCGGATCCGCTTCGTATCTCATAACGTGATCTATAAAAGTCGTTCCTGGATACCTGTCACCACCTATGGCAACACCTTCGTAAACTCCATCAGTGGTTTTCGATATAATATTATTTAATTCGTTTGACATTCCTCCAGATCGCGACACGTAAGCCACGCTAAAATAAAAACAAAAATACTTTCGTTGGTTCCCGTTTTCTTTTTTTTTTTTTTTTATAAGAAACCGTTTTGTTTTTGTTTAAACACAAACCTTCCAGGTTGATATAAGCGAGAATGTAAAATATTATCCATCATTCCACCGGTGTTGCCAATTTTAAAACAACCCGGTTTTATTCCTCCGACCGTGGCGGGTCCTATTATGTTAACTCCTTTTAAATTCGCTTCGGCAATAAGTTTCCTAGTGAAATTTTCGGGAATTCCTTCCGCGATTATTGCGATTGTCCGTATCTAAAAAAAAAAAAAAATTTACGTACACATATATATTTTTTTTTAGTTTTGACGTCAGCAATTTAGCACCTCGACTTACTTGCGGATAGTTGAGCGTTTCCATTGTACTTTCGTATGCGGATCTAAGGGAAGCAAAATTAACCAAAACATCAGCGTCTTTGTGTTTATTCATGGCATCTTCCATTTTTTTATAAACTAAAAATTAGAAAAACGTATTATTATCGTTATTATTATTATTTTTATTGTCGTTAAGGTTACAGAAAAAAGGATCCCCGCACTCTTCTTATAAATTTACCCGTAATTAAAATTTCTTTGTGACCCCAATAAAATTTTTGCTTGTGATCTCCTGTGAATGGATAAACCATGGCAACAACCGACGGTTCCGAACGTCTACAAACAAAATCAAAATCCAACATGCTCTGAAAAAATAAAAATTTATTAGCCGAAACAAAAAATCAGTAATAATAATAATAATTATAATGACAGTAACGATAAATTAAAATAATAGAGTCCCCCCCCACCTGTACGGCTCGGGTTTGCATTCCCCAAATAATTGCTTTTGTTTTACTTGTAAACATTGGAGATTTATTAACTCTATCGACATTATCACCGTCGGCCATGGGTTTATGAAGAGAACTCATTGAATTTTTTTTTGTCAGATCGGAATTACTTAAAGATTCGTGCCTCGACGTTGTCGGACTCGGCTGAACAAAAAAAAAAATTACTTTAACGGGTATTTTTCAAAAAAAAAAAAAAAAAAAAAAAAAAGTGACGGGTTTTCTTTTTCCCCTCACCTGAACTTGTCCTCCGGGTAATAAAAAATTAGCAGTCGTAGTTTCGCATTCTGATGGTAACTGAATCGGTCTCATTCCGAGTGCCATACCCACAATGGCTGTCATGTGAGTTTCCGGACCGAAAACGTAAAGAGGAATACCTAAATTCTGTCCCACTTCTCTCATTCGTCTGAAAAACAATTTTCCAATACATGCATACGATTCATTCGTTAAAATTTAAATTTTTCTTAAATGTGAAAACATACCTTAAACCCTCCTGGTAATTGGGTCCGGCTCTTCTCACGAATATGGAAACATTCATTTCAACCAAACGTGGTTGATATTCTTGCAGAGCAGTCACGATTCCTTTAAATGTCGCGGCAACGTTTGTGAAATTAGCGATACCACCGCCGATTATTAAAATCTAATTCGAGAAAAAAAAATATATATATATATTTAACAATCCATCTCGCAACGGAAATTTCAACCTGTAAACTCTCCGACCGTACCTTTCCATCCGGGTGAGGTTCCTGAGTCATCAAAGACAATATAGTTTTAGCATATTCATACGTTTGTTGTTCGCTCGGTGCTCCGCTGTATTCTCCGTAATTAGCCAACTCGTTAACTCCGCACAAATCACAGAGAGTGTCGGCATAAATAACCGAAGCACCACCACCGGCAACCATCATCCAAATCCTACCCTTTTTATTTAATATAGTCAACTGTGAACAGAAAACAGGGGAAAATGAATTTCCGTATAAATAAGTTTTAATTTAAAAAAAACAAATGGTGGAAAAAAAATAAAAAATAAAAAATAATGATACATGCTTTCAAAGATGCCCCACTTTTCGAATCCAAATCCGCTATGTAAGCTTCTTCGGGATAAGCATCCCTTCCGAAAGGTGGTGGAAAATCAATTTCTCCCCAAAGAGTCCTTGTGTGCAAAAAAAAAAAAAAGAAATTCTTAGTAATTGTAAACATTTTTTTTTTTTTTTTGCCCCCCTCATTTCAACTTTGAAAGAATTCAAACGAACCTGCACATGAAATCCGCTGTGGCATCCACTTTGGCAGCCATATCGAGAACGTAAACGGATTCATTTGTAACAACCAAAGGATTTATTTCCAGGTACGTAAAATACAAATCGACGTAAACTTTATACAGAGATTGAATAAATTCTGCAATTATACTAAAACGACAAAAAATCAATATTTCCTTCAACAAATCGAATTTGTTTTCCTCTCTCTCTCTCTCTCTCTCTCTCGCTCTCACTCCAAGAGAGAGGGAAAGAGAGAGAGAGAGAGAGAATAAGAAAAATTTCTAGATTTTTACATTTGTTTGCTGGGCGAAACGTTTCTCAGAATCGTTTTCAATCTATTTATGTCAAAATTTTCATTAACGGAAACTTCTAATCTAAGAGCTTTCGAATCGACATCTCCGATTTCGATTCCTCCCTCGTGATGAAATAAAATTGTGTCACCGTGACGATGACTGTAAATGCAAACATAAAATTCCTCATTCTGGAACAAAACGGGAATAAAATAAATAAATAAATAAAAAAGATCAATCGAACGAAAGAAGGAAAAAAGAAACGGGAAAAGGAAAAAATTCCTTTTTCTCCCTCCCTTCCTTCCTTCCATCCAACCCCCTTCTTCATCCCTTCTTACTCACGTCGGCATGAGGCACAAAAGGTTCGATAATAAAATTCCTTAATTTCCCGACCGCTTTTTGTATTTTTTGATCCCGGTTTATCCTTTCCGAAATCCATTGCTTAACTTTATCGTAATCCGCATTTACTTGGATTAAACCTAATTTTCCTCTTCTTTTAATTAACTGATCGCATTTCACGACTAATTTCTGAAAATTTAAATTTTTAAGTAAAATAAACGAATGATAATGATAATAATGATAATGATAATAAATAAATAAGTTTTTTTTTTGTTGACGATTACCTCTTGACCCAGCCAGGGATTTTGATTTAACAAATCAGTAAAATTTGTATTTTCGTCGACGGACGCGAATCGGGATTTAACCGCGGATGAACATTTCAGGTGCCTGTTGAGCAAATCCTTTCCGGTCGCCTCCCTTATGGCTTTTGCTGACATTTTTATATATACTAATCACTACTTTGTAAATACCTATATATAAAACTATAATTCCTAATTTGAAGAGAGAGAGAGAGAGAGAGAGAAAGAAAACAAAAATTAATTTTAATTTTTTATCGTACGCGTCGGTCAAAAATAATTGACAATAAATTATTTGTTAAAATTGATTCGCTTATTTTATGATGATAATGATGATGATGATGATGATGATGATGTAACTAACTAATACACAGAATAGAAAAGAAAAAAAAAAAGATTCGATGTAAATTTGGAGGTCAACTCGTCGATCGACATTTTTTTTTTTTTTTATAACCTCTGACGCAGACGAAATTATCATATTGATTGAAAGTAAACCTCCACCGAAAATATTACGACAAACTTTTTTTTTTATTTTAAAATAAATAACTACGAGGGGAGGGGGGAGAGGGGACGGAATGAATGGATAAACCCTTTAGATAGGGGTGACAAAGAGAGAAAGACAGACAGAAAGATGAGATTTATTATATTTTATATTGGAAAAAAACACAAACAAACATGGAAAAATTTGTTTTAAACGCGACACACGAAAATCGATTCCATTTTTGTCAAATTAGAAATAGAAAAAGAAAAAAGAAGAAACTATCGTCGGTTTCGTAGAAATTAAAACAAATGTCAAAGGTCAAAACGAAAAAAAAAAAAAAGAAAAAAGAAAAGAAGAAAAGACGAAACAAAAAATAATAAAAAAAAATAAAATAAAATAAAATAAAAATTTATTTATTATTTATTTTAATTTTAATTTAAAATTTTTAAACGACGTCGAGTCAGCAACATAAAAAAAACAATGACGATAATAATAATAATAGTAGTAGTAAAACTATTCAAACGTGGAAAAGACACGCAAAACAATTAAAAAACAAAAAAAAAAAAGGAAGAAAGAAACATGGGGAATATCCCGGAAGAACTTTTTTTTTTTTTTTTTTTTAAAAAAAACTCGATCGACGAATTACAAACGAAATGTAAAAGACCCATTTATAAAAAAAAAAAAAAAAAAAAACGTGGAACAAGAAACCCAAAAAAAAAAAAAAAATCGAATAATTTAATGATTTAAAAAAATAATTTTTTTTTTTTATCCCGAAGCGAGAGGGAGAGACAGAGAGAGAAAACAGAGAGAGAAAACAGAGAGAGAGAGAAAAAAAAACCGAACAAGGTTGATCAAAAGTCGTTTATAAATGGATTTCTCTAAAACGCAAAAAGAATATTAACTATAAAAACTTTTACTCACGTTGAAAATTATTATTAATAATAATAATAATAATAATAATAATAATAATAATAATAATAATAATAATAATAATAATAAATCATAGTAATAATAAATTATTATTATTATTTCGAAAAAAAAAAAATTGTAAATACCCGAAACGATTGTAAAAAAAAATTTTTTTTTTTTTTTTAAATTACAAAGAAAAGAATAATAATAATAAGAGGAAGAAGAATAAGAAGAAGAAGAAGAAGAAGAAAATGTCAAAAGTTAAAATGAAATGAAAAAGATTTAAAATAAGAGAAGAAGGAACAGAAAATCAATAAATCGATGGGAAATCAATTTTTTTTTTTTTTTTTTGTTTCGTTAACGCTCTAATATTAATTAATTAATAAAATATATTATTAAAATAGTAACATCTCTTATCACAAGAAATTTAAATTTTTTTTTTTTTAGAAAATGATAAGAAGAATGAGAGAAAATCCGGGTAAATTTTACGACTGAATAATAATAATAATAATAATAATAATGATAATAAAAAATAATCGCGTGTAAAAACGAAAAAAAAAAAAAAGACCTCCCCAAAGTTTCCTCCTCCTCCTCCCTTTTCGTTTCTCCTCACCATTTTTCATTTTTTCCCTTTCACCCTTCGCTCTCCCCCCCCGCTTAGAAAATTTTACAAAAGTTTTAATAATAATGATGATGATGATGATGATGATATATAAATTTTTTATTTAAATTTGCAGAAAACTTAAAAACCTGTTTTTTATTATCATTATTATTATTTTAACTCGTTTGTTTTTTATACATAAAAAAAAAAAGTTTTATTAGAAATTTTACTTATATCGAATAAAACCACGTGATTAAAATGTAAATGAAAAGAAAAAAGCGGGGTGGGGGGGGGGTAAGAAAGGGTTTTAAAAGCAGAAATTTTTGGTTTTTTTTTTTTATTATTATTATCATTTTTTGATAAGAGGCAAATTACTTAAGCCGATTATTTAAACCGACGATTAACAATGAAAACCTTAGATTTTTTCATTCCACCCCAAAAATTTTCCTTTTTCTTCTCTTTTTCTATTTTTCTTTCTCTCACTCACTCACTCACTCGCTCATTCACATTTTCCATTTTCCACTTCGTTAAATATATAAAACTTAAATTTATATTTTAAAGTAAATACTTGTTAAAAAAAAAAAAAAAAATGAAAATGAAAATGTTACTTAAAATGAATTTTTTTTTTTATAAGAAAAACTCTTTATGAAAATATAAAATTTCCCGGAGAAAAAATAGAGTGAGAGAGTGAGAGAGAGTGAGAGAGAGAGAGAAAGAGAAAGAGAGAGAAAGAAAGTAAAGAACAAGAAGATTCCTATTCTGGAACTTTCTTCACAACATTCATGACAATTAATAATTTAAAATAAAATTGTTATTTCAACAAAAATTAATAAATATTAATAAATATTAATAATAATATTAATAATAATAATAATAATAATAATAATAATAATAATAATAAAATGTAAAACAACACAAAGTTATTTGATAACTTTGATTTTCACTGGGGCAAGGTCAGTAGTAAAGGTCCTTAAGCCAATAATCGAATGATAATCAACCTTCAATTATATTACATTCAACCTTTTGCTAAGAAACAAAAAATTTATGTACCCCTTAAGGGTGTGAAACCTTAAATACCTTAAATAAAATTTTTAATTTTCTGCAAACATAAAAATTTTTAATTATCGTCCTCATTTAAATAAATAATTTTATCCTTTTATTTACTTATTTATTTATTTATCGATTATTAAAAACTAACTCATTGAATTAAATGTTATAAATTGTTTTTGACCTTTTTATTTATTTTCATTGCTATTTTAGTTAGTTATTTAATATTATTATTATTATCATTTTTTTCCTACATCTTTTTATAAAGCCTAGAATAAATTTATTATTAATGATAAAAGAAAATAATTTAATAGCATTATGTAATAACTTGCTCTTAATAATTATTTAAATAACACTTAATAATAAAATAAAAGTCACTTTTTTAGAAGAAATAATTTAACTAATGTGTAATTAAATTCGATAATAATGATTAAAATAAAAACGATACCATAATTAAAACGAGTGTTACTCTCATTATATAAATAAATAAATAAATAAATATTTGAATTGTTTTACCTATAATAAAACTAAAAACAATAGAAAAATATAAATAATACTTTTAACAAATAAAAAAATTTGATAAAATTAGGATAATTGAGTGAAAGTAGTAGGACAAAAAAAGAAATATAAAATTTCACTTTTTTTTTTTTTGTGATAAGTAAATAACAAAACATGAGGTTAAAAATATTTAAAGTGAAATTATTATTGTATTGTGTAAATAATTTATAAAAATATTATTTATATCAATTGAAAATGAAAATTTATTTATGTAAAGTTTTTTTTTTTTTAAATGCATTTCCCAAAAATTTTATTTTTAATTTAAACTTTCTCGAATAACCTCGAATAAAAAAAAATTTCACTTACCATTTACTCGTGTAATAATTTATATTAATAATTTCAAAACTTATTTTTAAATATTATTATTATTATTAAAAAAGAATACTCGCTAAATAGGTTAGTAAAAAAAAAAAAAAAAAAAAAAAACAAATTGATACCGAATGATTTAAATTACATGCGATATGAATTAATAATTAATGTCTTGAACTTGCAAAATTTACAATCGTTTATTATTAGTTTTTAACTTTTCTCGTTGTTTTTATTCTCTTTTTTTTTTTTCAAGTCGAATAAAAAAAAATTAGTTTTTTTAATTTGTTTCACTTTTTTTTTTTTTATTTATTAATAATTATAACTGATTAATATTAATAAGACAACCAACCAAAAAAAATATAAATAATTATAAAAATTTGAATTAAAAATAATAATAATATTAAATTGATATGCTTTAAACTCTTTAATAGTTAAGTAATAAATTTAATTTTATTTTACTTTCACTCAAAAATTTTCAAATAATAATTAAATTTCAATGTAAAAAAAAAAAAAAATTCGTTTTTTGATATATAAAATATAATGACCGAGTTAAATAACAAAAATAAAAAATTTTAAAAGAATGTTACGAGTTTAAAACGTGTATATTTAATAATTGTAAAACTTGTTTTTAATATATTATAAAAATTATCGTACGGAAATTTTTAAACGCGTCGTAAATAATTAATATTCGATTTGATTTACTAATAATTATTTAAATCAATCGGCCATTTGTAAATTGGTTATTAGTGTGTTAAAAAACCGACAAATAATTTAAAATGAAATTTTTTATACTTGATTGATTAATAATAAAAAAAAAAAAAAAAAAAAAAAAAGAGAGTAAATTTTAAAAACTTACCTAATAATATTTTATTTAATTGAATCTATTTTTTTTTTTTTGTGATATAAAAATAAAGTAAAGTAGTTAATGTGTAACGAAAACACCTCAAGTAAATCTAAGGTATACCACACCAGGCATCGCATCACGGAGCGCGTTCATGAATTTAACTTTTTTTTTTTTTTCACTCAAATATTTGTCGAACAATTGCAAAAATTCGAGAACGTTTAATTTTTTTTTTTTCGTTTTTTATACGTTAAATTTTTAAATTTAAAAGAAAAAAAAACATTTTTAATAATTTATCGAAATATTTTATAAACTTTATTTGAAATTATAAGGAAAATAGGATTTTATACAATGATTATTATTATATTTTATAGTATTAAGTTATCATTTATAGAATTATGTTATGATATTAAGTCAAATACATCAATAATTTTAATAAATAAAAAAGTTAGAATTAATAAATAAGAAGGAAATTAATTAATTAATTAAAAAATAAAACACAAAAACTTAATTAAATAATTTTCTTTTTTTTTTTTTTATATATATATATATTGTAAAATGTATGAAGAAACAAATAATTGTATTTCAACAAAAATTTTTTGTTTATGTTGAAAAGAAAACATTTAATTTTGAATATTTAACTTTTTCATTCTTTTTTTAAAAATACATTAAAGAAAAAGTAATAATTTTAACAATAGAAGAAAAAAAAAGAAATTTTCCAAGGCATCATTTTAAAAATGAGAAAGCACAAAAGAAATTTTTAAATCAAGTATATATAAAAATCATTTTCTTATTAATAACCTCAGCGTTTTAGAGTAAAAATAATAATAATAATAATAATAATAATAATGATAAATTTATTAAATTGATGAAAACACTTTAAACTTACAATAAATATTTAAAAAAAAAAGCTAAAGAAAAACATATTAAACATATTTTCTTTTCGGTTTTTCATTTTGTAAGGAATAAAGTATGACAATGGGTTTAAATTAAGAAAAAAAAAAAAATTCACAATTATGAATAAAAACTAATCTTTTTATAATAATAATAATAATAAATTTTCTCTCTCTCTCTCTCTCTTTAAATAATAATAATAATAATGAATAAATGTAATTTAGATTAAATAAAAATCTTATTTAAACAGATAAAAAAAGGAAAATAGAAAAATTTCAAATTCTGTCAATTTAATTTATTAATTTATTTATTCGAACACATAATCGTTGGTGCTATTAAAACCAAAAAAAAAAAAAAAAGAATTTTTTTTATATTTTTAATTAATCATCAGTTTAATATTTTTCCAAGTTCACTGACCCTGAGACATAATAACAATACTTTTTTTTATTTTTATTTTCTTAAATTAAATTAAAAAAAATTACTTTCGATTCAATCCATGGAAAGAAAAAGAAAAAAACAAGAATGATAATAATAATAATAATAATGATTCGAAACGCTGAAGCTTTGACTGTGACATAAAAGAAATTATTTATACAATTAATAATAATAATAATAATAATAAGAAATAATAATAATAACAATGATACTAATAATTGTACTTGCAATTGTTTTCGGATGTGTAATAATAGTAAAAAATAATAATAATAATAACTGTTTGTTGTTGTTGTTTGTTGTTGTATAATAATTAAAATGATGTAAACTATAAGTCTGATACTGCATAAAAATTATTTATAATAATAGTAATAATAATAATAATAATAAATAATGAACCATATGATATGATCAGTTTCCTTGGTACAGAGAATCTTTTATGTGTTTTTCGACAATTTTTTTTATGTGTGGCAGTGCTTTACAGTCTGGATCCCCGAGTAGATTTTCAGCTTTGTATGGAGGAGTTATTGTGACTTTATTCCAAACCATTATGTTCACTCCGCTCCATGAAACTTCATTTATACTTGAATTAATAAAAAAAAAAAAATTAAAAAATTTTAATCTCATTTCACACTTTTGTAAAAGTCATAAACAAAATAATTATTAATAAAAAATTAAAATGATAATTTATTTCCATCACTTGTCACTCAAGCATAAAATTTTTATAAGGAGTGTAAAATTTCCTTTTTTTTTTCTATATCGAATAAATTCTCGAGTAGTTTAAGTCGACACAATAATTTAAAAAAAAAAAAAAAAATTATAACATAATTATAAATAAATTTAACCGAGACACTAATTAATAATTACATAAATAAAAACTACAAATTCTGTAATTGTTATTTCCTTTCTTTTTCTGGCACGATTATGAAAACGGATAAAAAAATTTAATTTTATGGATAAACTCACGTTTTTGAAATAGCCAAAAATAATTTTTGACCTTCTGGTGAAACTCCAGCATTTAAAGCATTCCCCAATCTTTTTTTTTTTTCAACTTGGTTTTTTATCCTTGTATTTAACTAAAAAAAAAAAAAAAAAAAAAAAAAAAAAAACAAATTACTTTGTATACATGTATCGTCATTTCTCCATCGTTTCTCACAAAACGATTTCTATATATAAATATATGGATATAACTTACCCTATGTAAATTTAATGAATTTGGTGAATCTGAAACTGAGGTGACTTCTTTTTTCACCTGTACATCACTCACCAATGCTAAATTTACTACAAATATATCACTACGTGATGGCCGTCCACTACTTGATGGACATTCTTTATTTATTACAAAAAAAAAAATTTCAATTAAAGAAAATATAATAAATTTACAGTATGTAAAATACTCATCTTTATTGAATTAACAAATAATTATCATTCCCACGTTCCATAATTTCAATCAAAATTTAAAAAAAAAAAAATCTATAAAAATTCCAATAAGATAAATTTAAGAGAAAAAAAGGAAAATCATTAACGATTTTCTATTGTTCTTAATATATCATCGATAATATTAAAAACATGTCATATTCGAAATGAAAAAAGAAAACAATTAATAATAACAAATAATAATAATAATAATAATATTAATTGATAAATAATATAAATATGGGTGAAAAATAAATAAAACGATGTCAAATATAAAAATAAACAAACAATTTTATTAATAAATAAAAAAATGAAAAAGGTATAAAAAAAAAATAAAATCGATATTTTCGTAACGAAGTTGCAAGTCAGAAAAAAAAATTTATTAAATAAAATTATTAAAATAAATTTATATAAATTAAAATAAATATATAAAAAGGATACTTAATATAAGCATTTTTGTTTGTGGATCGAATGCTAAAACTTCTCCTTCGATTTCCTTAGAAAAACATGTTTTACAAGCTACAATTGATCCTATTGAAAAACATTCGCTTACACCGGCCATTTTGAAATTAACTAATGTTCTGCTATAACCGGAAATGGTTTGTTTCCTTTGACAATAAATCCCGCCATTTTTATTCTTATTATAATTATAATCATTACGATGTTTATTTTTTTTTTTTTAATTAAAATTTTAAATGTTTAAATAAATATTTTTACGACTTGAAACACGAATAATTAAATTCCCAATCATTAATTAAAATCTCATTTTGGAATTTTGACTTTTGCCTTCTTTTTACAAAAAATTTAAACTAAAATTTATTTATTTTTTTTTTACTTAAAATTTTTTTATTTAATTTAATAAATAACAAATTATAATTAATAATAAAAAAACAAAAAGAACAACTACTCTTGAAAAATTATCCATCAATCATCGAGTAGTTATAATTAATTAATTAAAAAAAAAAAAAAACCCTAAAATTGTTACAATTATATAAAAACATTATTTTTATGAATGAAATTTTTTTTTTTT